AATATAAACTGGCTATTTAACAAAAGGTCTCAGTTATCTCTCGAAAATAAACTGCTTCTGTACAAGCTATACTAATACCAGTTTGGGCATATGAAATAGAAGTATGGGACTGCAGTAAACCTTCAAATACGAAGATACTTCAAACATTCCAATCTAAAATACTCCTTATGATAAGTAAAGCTCCATGATATGTATCTGACCAAACACTTCACGACATCCCATTACTTAAGGACATAATAAAGAATCCCTCAATAAAATATAAAACTCGTACCATTGATCACAATAACGAACTGATAAATAATTTATTCACCCAACCACTTGCCAAAAGAAGTTTGAAGAGGGTATCGCCAGAAGACCTACCGCAATAATACTTAGAGAACCGTCACTGGACGGTAAGTAAGTCACGTTAATTTATTTACAGATTATTTGCTTATTACTAGACTTCGGCAAATATGCAAATAAAAATGTAGAAAATATGCGCATAAATATGCACGTGTTTACCCGAAAAAATGCAAATATTTTACAAAATATGCATACAAATAAATAAAAAAATCGTAAAATAGTAACAATTTTATTTAAAAAAAAGTGTACATAACTAAATATTTCCTACTATTCATTAAGATTTACATTTATTTTAAGTAACTACATCATTTTAAGTATGAATAAACTTATTTAGAATTATGGTAACAATAAATGACCAAGTGGTGTTCAAAATTTTCTAACAAAAACGTGTGGCTTCTGTCTGAGTACATATATTTATATATGGAAAAACTTCGTTCAACATAAACTGATGTAACGGGAGCATTTTTCAAACTAACCAAAACATTTGGTTCTAAATTAATTGTTTCCGAAATATTTCCAGCTAGAACACTGACTACTTCAGAAAGAATATGGTAACCTTTATTTTTTTCCATAGTAGCTTCAAATTTTTTTAAAATATCTTTTCCAATATTACCTCTAACTTTCCGACAACATGGCGCAAATTCTTTTATTAATGCTGTACTTTCGAACAATGACAGTTTTGGTGATTCTAACTGAGTAATTGTTTTTTGAACAAAACTAAAATTTGTTTGAACAAAATTTGAACAAAAGAGATTGGGAACTTTCATCTGTTAACGTATAAATTATGTTCTTTATTTTAACAAAATGATCTGCATAAAAATTAGCTGCTTCTAACCATGTTCCCCATCGCGTTAAAATAGGTTGTGGTGGAAGAGAAATGTTAGGTACCATTTCTTTATAAAGTTGAATTCTTATAGGAGATTTAAGAAATACTTTTTTGACACTGGATATCATGGTATTTACAAGAGGAAACTTTTTCGTATTTCCTCTGCAACTCTGTTTAATCCATGCGCTACACAAGTAACATGTATTAAATCTGGGAAAAATATTTTTAAATTTTGTCCTGCTTTCACCATATAAGGAGCAGCATCCGATAAAATACGCAGTAATTTATTAGAAGGAATAGTTGTCGGAAGAAAAAAAGTTGCTAATGTTTCTTATATAAAACGCGAAATTGTTAAAGCATTTGTTTTCTCAAGTTGCTGGCATGAAATAAGATGAGATTTTGGTAAGGTATCTTCTTTAAGAACACTAATCAATAAATGAGCAATATACTTTCCTGAGGAATCAGTGGTTTCGTCTACAGATATATGTAAAAATAATTATCTGCAATTTTTTCCTTAAAATTAATTAACACCGACGAGTATAGCCCGTTCACATTATTTCTTCTTAGAGACCGATCACTTGGAACATTAAGTTTGCAATATTTTTTTAGAAACGAACTAAAATTTACATTTGCTAATTTTGAAAGCGGTATGTTTGCAGACACTAATGCGCGACACAAGTCTTCATTAAAAGTTTCTTGCTCATCTAATTTTTTTGAAATAGATTGGAAACATTTAGCCATTGAAGTTTGATGTTTTCCTCCTATTTTTCCTTTTCTTGCAATGTGTGAAGCAGTTCTCACATGTTGGTCTATCTGAAATTTCTTCTCACATGCTATCTATAAATAAAAATAAAAACCTTTATTTTAACCCAACCTTTAAAATATAAAAATATACAAGGTGTTTTTGGTTAATCAAATAACTGGTTTGGAAAAAAAACACTCGCTAAATGTTTTAAATGCAGTATTAATCCACAAATTAGTTTTTGTTACTAACCATTAGTACATCATATAACTTATTTTAAAATTCAACAAAAGTTTTTTTTTTGTTAATTCAATGACAATAAAAATAATTGTGTTTTAGAATAGCTGACTTCATAAAAAAAAGTAAAGGTGAAAAATTTTTCTAAATACACACCATTGTATTGTACCATGGACAATTTTTTCTCACTAAAGGAAGCTATTTTTCATTTAAAAACAACCTACGAATACTAAATTTCAAGTAAATACGTTTATTGGTTTTAAAGTTATTGTTGTTATTAACTAAAAGAATTTAATTTTTTTTAATTTTAACACCCTGTATCTCGAAAAGTAAATAAGTTTGACCCCTCATTAACTATATCGTTTTGTTGAATTTTTCGAGAAGTATCTACAGTCAAACGTTGTAAGTGTCATTTGGAAACACCCTGTATGTATGAAATATTAGATATTTAATAGAAAATATTAGATACTTACAATTTTGCCACAGACTGAACAATAGATTTTTCCCATATCCATAGACAGCTCTTTATAAGGTTTAATCCAAGTTGAAGCACTGGTTGTTTTAGGCATTATAAAATCACAATCTTCCTTTTTGTTACGCACAACGAGTGTTTACGTTTTAAATATCAAAACAAAAATGATTTACAAATCTGAGCATCAAATTAGAAATGTTTAGGTACCTAATTCAATAAACTGGGAGATTTTGGAAAATCCCTAAATTAGGAACAAAACTATTAGCCGTTTACCTGCTGTTAAGATACAATAAATTGTAGATAGATTTGGGGATTAGATCATAAAATGCAAATGAGCGAACCCTTAGCGATTATCCAATAACTGAATGCCTCAGTGACCGAGACTTTCTAAGAATGTTGAGGGCTACTTAAATTGATCTTCTTTGAAATTGTAAATGTTTTGTACCTGTAGAGATTACGTACTTAAATCATTTCTTGATTAAAATGACTACAAAATTGTATACAAAAATTGAAATAAATTGGTATGTTTAAAAATTTTCAAATACAGTATAAAAATCTGAACTTTTATGCACTTTATGCAAACTTTTATACAAATATGCCAAAATATGAAATATTTGCATAAAATATGCACAATATGCAAAATATGCAATATGCATATTTGCCGAAGTCTACTTATTACTCTATGTATAGAGTAGATTATAAACATGCAATGTACCAATAAAAAAAATTATAGACAATGAAATATTTGAAAATGAGTAAAAAAGCGATGTTTTTTTCGAAATAATGTTTTGGCGAATTAAAGAGTTTCTGACATGTAGGGCCTTATTTTGACAGCATGCAGGGTATTTCAAAAAAGATAACCCCGTCTCTAGGGTAGGTAAAAAACTGAAAAATAATTGGGATTTGCTTAGTAAAAAATTTTTGTAACGCCATCCGTTTTCAAGATACAGGGCGTTGAAGAAAAAAAATTACGCATTTTTTTACGATTTTGCCGAAACTACTGGCAACATTGTAATGAAATTTTATACGAATATGTTTTGAAAGCTGATACATCCCATGAATTTATTTTTATATCTGATTCTCATAGAGGGCGCTAGTTACACGGATCGTACTAAGTATTAATCAATATAACTTTTTTAAGAGTATAATTATTAATCAAAATTTCAAGTAAACTTAAACATCATTCAATTTTACACGAAAAAGGTACTCTTGGTAAAACTCGATACTGTGTACCGTTTTCGGTATATTTTGATTTGAAAATTATGAAGTAATAATTGATGCTGGTAGTAATGATAAAGTTCTAATAGGTATACCTCTATTTTCTCCAAGTGTGCCATGGAAATCTGACATTAATTGATTGGTCTGACGATAAATCAACAATAGAAAGAGTATTGAAATCTTGTTATTTGTAAAATCAAATCAAAATGTACTCAAATGTTGAATACACTGACATGTTATTAACCTTAAGCAAATGTTTAGGATGTTCTGTGCAATTACATCATTATCATTACAGACAAGTCCAAGAGCTCTTGCGAGATGATCTACCGGTTAGAGTGGATTTTTGTGAAATATTGCAACAAAGGACAGCACAATTTCTAGCGCTCTCTATGAATATAAGATATAAAAACAAATTCATGGGATGTATCAGCTTCCAAAACATATTCGTATAAAATTTCATTACAATGTTGCTAGTAGTTTCGGCAAAATCGTAAAAAATGCGTAAAATTTTTTTTCTTCAACGCCCTGTATCTTGAAAACGGATGGCATTACAAAAATATTTTACTAAGCAAACCCCAATTATTTTTCAGTTTTTTACCTACCCTAGAGAGGGGGTTACCTATTTTTAAAACACTCTGTATATGTGATCTATAGCCCGAAAAATATAAAGAAAAGAATTTATGATCTAGCTCATAAGATATTTCGATACCAACCAAAATATCAAATTGTTCAGTGATTATTTAGTATATTTTGAAATTTGATCTGTAGCTTTATTCTAATTACTTTTGTCTTGGTCATCCATATCAAGAATGTTAAATAATTTCCTCGCTAATCACATTTTTCTTCATGATTGCGATGTTGTCTATATTGTTTCCCACCTAGCAAAATTGCCACTTCCTTTCAATTACTTCCATCTATACTTATACAAATATACAAAACTCGCAAAATACTACTTTTTCTTAATATGTTACTAAAAGGTATAATTTGATTGAAACTTTTTATCTCCTTCATAGGAAGAAAACTTTCCCAATAACTAATTATATCCTCCTCACTCTAGCGATTAAAAGTGAAGTTCTGTGTTTTAAAATAATTTGTTAAGTCAATCTTTAGTGTTCGCTAATAATAATGTTGCGGCTATCGTGTTTCGGTTCGTGGTAAAAACGATGATACCCGCAAAACGTAAGTAAAGTAGCTAAATATTATTAAGTTTGTCTTGATATTTGATTTGATTTTTAAAAACCTATTACTAAACGACAAAATTAGTTTTGACAGTTTAGTAACAAATCAAAGTTTTTTACATTTTTGAATTTTCAAATAAACATTCATTAACTTTTTTTAAGATTTTGTATATTTTTCCGTCAGATGTTACAATTATTATTGTTAAATTTTGAATTATAAAACTTCCTGAATTAATTCAAAAAATCTTTGGGCTTATATTTTAAATTATTGTTTTATTCTTTATATTTTTGTAACATAGGATTAGAAAACACAGTGTCTTATCTGTTTTATCTTTCTTAATGAAATAGTTACGCATGCCGATACATTCAAAAAAACTTTCTATAACTATTTATATTATTATTTTACTCGTTTTGTTGATGCCACAATGAAAGATTACTAGTATTCTTTATTTTCCTGATTACGCTGTTAGGCACTACTTATAACATTTTTTTACTCTCATCATTTTATATATATATATATATATATATATATATATATATATATATATATATATATATATATATATATATATATACAGTAAGCTCTTAAATATTGGGAAAATCTGCAAGAAAAACTCAAATGTGTATCAATTGTTTCGCCTAACGTTTTCGCCAAAGAGAATATTTGGCTTCTTCAGGGCTGAAAGAGAATAAATTATAATTAGCTACTATATATTATCTAATAAACAACATTTACCTTACCGTAAATTTTAGAAATGTCGAGTTATGATGTTAAAAAACTTTAGCTAGTAACAACATAGTGGTGTTTTTTTTGTTACTATGTGCAAAAAAGTTATTTTTGTTAACGTTGTAAATGTATGGTAGCTTTGAACTTAAAACGCAAAGGTTTACCCAAGGTTAATCGAAAAACCCAATGTAACTACATTAGGTTTAGTATAATACAATGTAGTTACATTGGGTTTTTCGATTAACCTTGGGTAAACCTTTGCGTTTTAAGTTCAAAGCTACCATACATTTACAACGTTAACAAAAATAACTTTTTTGCACATAGTAATAAAAAAAAACACCACTATGTTGTTACTAGCTAAAGTTTTTTTAACATCACAGCTCGACATTTCTAAAATTTACGGTAAGGTAAATGTTTTTTATTAGATAATATATGGTAGCTAATTATAATTTATTCTCTTTCAGCCCTGAAGAAGCCAAATTAATTCTCTTTGGCGAAAACGTTAGGCGAAACAATTGATACACATTAGAGTTTTTCTTGCAGATTTCCCCAATATTTAAGAGTTTACTATTTAACTTATCTGCAAAGATTAAATTTCTTTTCTATATATATATATATATATATATATATATATATATATATATATATATATATATATATATATATAATATAAAATTAATGTTTCTTGGGTTTAGGTTCAATAAAGATATGTTACATGTGGAACTAGATTTTATTTTCCATTGCAATCAATCAACGTTTCGGCAGGAAACCCTTGCCTTTGTCAAGATTCAAACCGTAAAACGTGACACAGACATTAACAAACTGACATATATGTCTAGTTCCACATGTAACATATCTTTATTGAACCTAAACCCAAGAAACATTAATTTTATATTAAATATAATACGGTTCAAGAAACTGGTCCTTAGGAAACTTAGAGGCCCATGGCTTTTGTTCTTTCTTCATTTTCGCTTTCCTTTATGCACTGATATCTTGTCTGGCTCGATATGTGACTTTTCTCCATTCATTCTTGTTATTCATTTTTTTTTTTCTGGCCGTCTAGTCCAATTTCTTCCATATCTTTTTCTACCTCCTGATTCCATCGATTTTTTGGCCTTCCTTTTCTCTTTTTTGAAGTTATAGTGTAGTTTAGTACCCTTTTTGGAGTCCTTGTGTTCGGAATCCTTTCTAGGTGACCTCGCCATCTTAGTCACTGTGCCTTTATGACTCCTATTATGTTAGATTGATTATATAATTTGTTTAACTCATCATTTAATCTTCTTATCCATAAACCGTCTCTTATTATTCCTCCATATATCTTCCTCAAGATTTTCCTTTTCCATATCTCCAGTAAATTTTGTTCATTCATTGTCCACGTCTCACTGCAGTATGTTGCTATTGGTTGTATAGTTGTTTTGTATAACTGTATTTTTGCCTTTCTTGATAAAAACTTATTTTTCAACATTTCACTAAGAGCATGTACACTTCTATTGCCTGCCATTATTCTAGCTTGTATTTCTTCTTTAATGTTAGGTTTACGTGATATTATTGTACCTAGGTATGTAAATCTTTCTACCACTTCGAATTCGTATGATGATCTTTCTTCTACTTCTACTTTAAACTTCTATCCATCTCTAAACTTGTAACAAAAATGTTGAGTTAGGGAAATGTAAAAAAAATGAGGAATGTGTAGCAAAAATGTGCAGTGTAGCAATAGGGTAAACTCTAAAATGTACCTTGATACACTAACGGACTAATATCTGGAATAACAGAAGATGGAAGGGATTAGATAGAGATAAATTATGTAAAAGAAATAAAAAGGTAAATATGAAGATTTATATATAACAAAATTAATGTTGGCTAGCGACTATGCAGGAGAATGACCTCTTGACACTCAAAGAGGGATTCGGCTAATTTGCATGCCCTACAGTGACCGTAAGATATAAGAACTAATGACAAGAAAACCACCAAGAAATAAACAGATGAAAGATAAAGTTGCTCTACTGAATGTTTGGGCGCCAGGAAGTTGAATGTTTTCTTCCGAGATACCTTGTATTGCTGAAATATGAAAGATAGGTACTAATTGAAATATTAAATTGTTTTAACCCAACTTTAATAAGGACCAATTTTATGTACAGACTATTTTAAACACTTATATATGACCCACCACCTCTTATGTACAATTAACTTATCTATATTTACAGTAAAATCCCTGAATATAATTATAAAACAATTTCCCCCCTAATGTACTGCTTAATTTTAAATGCTGACAAAGGTTATACTCAATAATTATATATAGAATATAAATATAAAATATACTACTCACTAATAATTTAGTTTTCGTTTAATAAATGTTTAAATTTTCAAATGAAATGAAACTCTCCGGATATGTGTGCACACAATAACCTAACAAAGAGAGATTCAAGGGAGAGTTATGATCTCATCCCTTGGTAGACAATAAATGATTTAATTGATTCATAATGATTATTGTTTTAGAAAAGTGAAGGTAATTATTATTAATGATATATAGATTGAAATTAAAGTGAACTAAAGATAAACCTTGAAGTGGATGTAGAATTATTTAAAATATTTGAATAGAAAATAAAAAAAAAAAATAAAAATCAGTTCTTCCTGCCGGTTTCTGTAGGTTTCCCTGGAGATGATCCGGTGAAGAACTAGGTGCAGGTGGGTATTACTCCAAACCTGGATTCCATATCAAGAGGTACGTTTAAATTAAGTCCTTCAAATTCTTAACTCCATAAACTTAAAATTTTTCTTCCCATTGTCCCAATAAATATTCCCCCATAAAACAAACTGAAAAGGTTTTTCTTCCCTGACTTGTTACTGGATTCCGGAAGTAGGCTAAAAAGAACAGTTCTGTTACTCCAAGTCTTTTGTTCATACAAAAAGTAAGGAAAAACCAAGAAAGGTCAACAAATTGAAATAAAAACTGTTAATGGGTTTCAGTAAATAACGACCTTGGGATAGTATGACAATGATATTATAGGATATATTAAATAGATAGTTTTACGGAAGGCATGGTCTGTATATATTATAGAATAGAAAAAAAAAAAGAAATATTAGCCGGTTTAAATGGTATGGAATTGAAATAGATAATTGTTTGCTTTCATCCTTGGAAAGAAATAAAATTTGAAATAATTATAAAATCTAATACTTGTAATGTATTTAGGTATTAATGAAATAAAGTAAAATGGGACATATATAAGATGTGTGAAATATCTATCGAGAAAGGATTCAAATTGATTTGAATTTCACTAACAATGGCGGATGATCTGACATGTTTTTTCATATAATTTATTTATAAATTCATCTTACCGGCTGAGGTGGTCCAAAACTTAAAGTATTTCCCAAAAACAACAAAGTAACAAAATGGCTTCCTTCTAAAATAACAGCTTCTTCGTAAAAAAATAAAATAAACTTAAACCAGATTCTTGAAAATGGCACCTCGAGCCGCACTACTTGATCACAAACGACCTTCACTCGACCAGATCCAGCGACGAAGAGCTCCTCTGACGGTGCTACGGCTGTCAAGACGATGTACTTTCAGAATCTTCCGCAGAGGGCGGGATTTAATGCCAACTTTCGAAAATAAAATTTACTGGAGTTTTAAATATTTGGTTTAAGAATATTTCAAAAAATGAATTTAATTTATAATTAAATTAAACGATTCCAGTGACAAAACGGTAAAGGGTTCTTTAAGTAACGGACTCGTTACAAACTGATCATCTGTCCACTGCATACATTTTGTTTTAGTTTCATTTATGTAAAGTCCCATTTTCTTTGCTGCTTTAACTATTCTCTGTACTATCTCCTGTAGCTCTTTTTTTCCTCTTGCCTTAAAGCCAATGTATTTTTATGACGCGCCAAGAACAAATCTAGCCAACCTCTACCAGCTTTTTTTAACTGCATTAAGGGATGATTTAATCCATTTGATTCAGCCAAATTAAATGCCATTCGTTTGATATCAGTCCGTGTTAAACCATAGAATTTCGCTTATATTTGAAGGATATAGTCTACCAAATATTTTTCTAAATCTGGGCCAAGAATAGTTCCTCTTCCCAGTTTCTTAAGTACGGCTTCATCTGGACTCAATTCAGTCAGTTTTACTAACCGTTGCACTGTCGATCTCGGGATATTGTAAGTTTTAGCTGTTTTTATTGTACCCATCGTTTTATCTCTCACAGTTTGAATAGCAGATTTAATGCTATCTGGATCCCAGGACTTTCGTTGTTTTTTTCTAGACATTATGAAAA